GCAAATCTCTTGTTCTCACAGGATTTATTCTACCAAATAGCTGGTCAGATTAACAAAGTATAGCAGTTTTGGGGTTTCTGCCTGAATTGTTTTTTGGGAGGTTAATTTTATCATTATTAAAATACAGTACTCGCCCATTCAATTTTTGAAATCCAATCCAGTTAGATAGTCCAGGCATCACAAAAAGTTTACAAGCCCTTTTAGAGTATCCTCTCTTTGGAAGCAGTTTACTTTCTAACTCTTAGAGTGCAACTAATTCATTCTATTTTCAGATTTTTAGAACTTAATCCTATTTCCAAAGAGAGCAGGTTCTAATCAGTCTGCTGATTCAATATATCTGACTTAACAGTGTTTGCTATTCCATGAGAGATGCTCCTTTTGGATGGGGAACACCTATTACAGTGTGCGGTCATATATTCTCATAAAGACTTTGATTTACAATGCTTGCTCCTAGTTCTTGCCTCTTAATTATAATGTCATGCTGAGCTCAGAAACTATTTTCTTCTAAAAGGAGATTCACTATGTCTCTTTTCAAAAACTGGGCCCCAAAGTTGGTTGTGCTGAGTAAAATATAACCACTTTTAATGAGACTATTTCTAACCATTAGTTAAGAATCTTTAAAAATAGGATTCAGGGCTTCCCTGGTGGCGCAGTGGTTGAGAGTCGGCCTGCCGATGCAGGGGACACGGGTTCGTGCCCCGGTCCAGGAAGATCCCACATGCCGCGGAGCGGCTGGGCCTGTGAGCCATGGCCGCTGAGCCTGAGCGTCCGGAGCCTGTGCTCCGCAACGGGAGAGGCCACAGCAGTGAGAGGCCCGCGTACCGCAAAAAAAAAAAAAAAAAAAAAAAAAGGATTCAAAGCATGTTCCATTTATACCTCACTTGGCTATCAGCCAGTTTGGTAGAAAATATATGTTTTTGAAATAAAATCTTTAATTGGAGAATATTCTGAGAGAACTTCACTCACAATGAATAAATCTAAAGAAACATCAGTACAATCCTGCCAGGCTAAGTTGTCAAAAAGCAATCTACGGTCAGGCTTCACATTAATGGAGATTTAATATATTTTCTTTTAATACATTTTTGTACTACAGAGAAAAAACCTACTTTTTATGGCTGCTAGAAGGAGTGGATCAAGATGATATATTTGACAGAGAACTCCTTGTCAATAAAAAAATCAATTCTAGTGAATTTCAAGGCTATTCAAACTTAGAATAATCCCCCTTCCAAATTTTAATGCAGTTCAAGTATTATCTCCATTTCAAAGTTTCAGCATTACTGACTGAATACTAGTTATCTTCCTTAATTTTCCAAGCATTCTGAGTAGATAGTTTTTTCATTCTTTGAGTAAATTTCAATACTTTAAGTAGCATAATAAAAGTTGTGTTTGCCTATAGTAATTTCCCACGAAGTAACCAAGATAATAACCCTATTTGATTTTGGCTGAAAAAATATTTGCTCATTATATTAACATGGATCACATACTCAGATCTTTGATGGTAAACACATTTAATTGAAATATGGGAAAATAAATTGTTACTTAAAATATTCAGAGTTTAAACTCCTTCTCTAGAGCATTTTACCGAGGCATATTAAGATCATATTCTTTCTATGATTCATTTATTCATTTAACTCCATTTATTTGTCAGTCTGCCCTTTCAAGTCATCCTAAAGATCTTTACTGAAGACATATCATGTGTTCTATCCTGAGACTGCCAAGATAAATACCATAGTTTCCTAATTGTTGTAGGACAAATGGTCCAGTAGAGAGGAGATACAGTTGAAGAGTAATGATGATACAATATGCTTAAGGCATGTATGGAATGATGCAGTGCCCCAAGGAGGGAGGGGCAGATTTTGCCTGGTGCAAACGCCAAAAAATATTATAAAGGAGCTGGATTAGGATTTTTAGGATGAATACGAATTCTAAGTGAGCTGAGGATGGAGGAGGGATAATCTAGGCAAAGTTAATAACGTGTGCTTGGAAGGTCAGCACAAGTTCAAAGAACTCAAGTGATCCACTGTGGTTAAAGAGCAGCATGAAAGTGAGGAGGGGGTAGAAGGTGTTGTTGGAGAGCAAGGAAGAGCTAGACCAAGGTTCTCTCCTAAGGAGTTTGTTGTTAATCCTGGTCACTAATTAATTGTTTTTTTCTTCTTTTTTGTTTTTTTTCCTTTTTTAACTTTGCAAGTATTTTCTCCCAGTCTATGGCTTTTTTTTTTTTTTTGAATATAATTGCTTTACAATGCTGTGTTAGCTTCTGCTCTACAATGAACTGAATCAGCTATATGTACACCTATATCCCCTCCCTCTGGGTCATTAATTTCTGACTTTTTTCTTCTCTATAATGACCGTCATAGTTAGAAGCCATGTGTAGTGTAAAGTCTAAAATTAAAGCCCAATACTACCTGCTTGGCACCTGGTAGAATTGGGAGGGCCTCAGCTGGTCTAATTGCAAGCTCACCTCCCCACTCTGCTCCCCCAGATAAGGTCCCCTAACCCTCCCTATCAAACCAACCAGGTGCAGTGCCTACTTATTCAAACAAGCCGACCACACCCTTCTAAGGAAGCAGGGATGCCTCACTCTCTTGATCCTACAAAACCTGCCTTCCACAGTCCCTGTTTTTCACTGTTCCCCGAGCACAGCTCTTATGTGGCCCTGATGGAATGCACAGTTTCTTCCCCTGGGCCGTGACCACCTCTGATTATTAAACTGCTGTTGATTTCACTTGTCCAGTGTCAGGTGTCATGTATTCGGCCATCCCCATCACCACAGAGTGGGAAGCCCTTCCCCTCCCCACCAACAGGGTAAATAGGAGGTGATTAGAACACCATGTCAAGGAAAAATTAAGCTGTCTGAACACCAGCAAGGAGTTATCTTTACGACATCTTCTGTTCCCTGCTATCCATTACTCATGATTAATCAAAAATATAGAGGATGGGCTTCCCTGGTGGCGCAGTGGTTGAGAGTCCGCCTGCCGATGCAGGGGACATGGCTTCGTGCCCCAGTCCGGGAGGATCCCACATGCCGCGGAGCGGCTGGGCCTGTGAGCCATGGCCGCTGAGCCTGCGCGTCCGGAACCCGTGTTCCGCAACGGGAGAGGCCACAACAGTGAGAGGCCCGCGTACTGCAAAAAAAAGAAAAAAATATATAGAGGATGGAGGAGGAGAGGAAAAGAGATTTTTTTTTTTATGGTAGGAAAGAGGCAGTCTCAAGGGTTTCTATTAGGTTATCATAGCCAATATTTTATATTTTATTTAATGCAGAGAAATAGATTTTGCAAAAATGATTTTCAGACAGTATTTTCCTTTGTGAGTTATTGAAATAAGGGGGATAGCTTAACATAATAAATGTTTATTTCCTCCCCACAACACAGTGAGGTATAGCTCAACTTGGCCATTCAGTATGGCTCTCTGTCGGTGACTCAGCGATGTAGACTATTTCCATTTTGCATCTTAGGTATATCCTAATAAAAACATTTGGTTGTATCAGGCAAAATAGAGATTAAGACACAAAGCACTATTAGGGATATAGAGGGTTACTTCATAATGACAAATCTTTAATTCATGAGGAAGGTATACTTCTTCTAATTATGAATGTAGCTAATAAAATGGTTTCAAACTACATTGAGAAAAATTGCTAAGATCACAGGGAGAAATTAACAGACTCACTACAATTCTGTGAGATTTTATGGTGACTTTCAATTAATTGATGATTTTCAATTATTAATAGAATAAAGAAAAAGAAAGAAAGTAGTAAAACTAAGATGATTTGAAAAAAATGAAAAATCGTGATCTGATAGATACATACACACACACACACACACACACACACAGCTCTGCAGCCAACAGTTAGAGAATAGATGTTTTCTTTAGCATAAATGGAATATTTACAGTTCTCTAATTGTAACTGGAATATTTACAATTAGAGAATAGATGTTTTCTTTAACATAAATGGAATATTTACAAAAAACTAATCATGTCTTATACCATAAATCTCACACTGCATAAGAAATGGCTATTTTGAAAAGTTCTATGGTTATAACTAAATAAATAGGTAATTTAAAAATTGGGGGAAAAAAACCCTTATATTTTAAAAAAATTAGAAAGAAAAACTACCTTAATGGAAATACCTAAAAATGTATTTAGAATTGAATGACAGTGACCATACAACATATCACAACTTGTAGAATGCAACAAAAGGGATTCTTTGAGGGAAAATAGGATAAATCCAAAGAACGTAGAAGGAAATAAATAGTAAAGATATGAACAGAAACTACTGAAATGGAATGTGAGTATGCCAAAGAAGATCAAAGCCAAAAGTTAGTCCAATTAAGAGATTAGAAATGGATAATTCTACATGGAACTTGATTAAGAAAAAAGCAGGTGGACACAAATAATTATTAGAAATGATGAAGGGGAAGGACCAAGATGGCAACACAGGCAACTTCTGAACTTCTCTCCTCCTAGGGACACATTGAATATAAAGCTGCACATGGAGAAATTCCCTCTGAGAGAAATCCAGAAACCAGCTGAGTGACTCCAGCATCTCAAATTAATAAGAAAATACCCATACGAAACCTGGCAGGAATGGCTGAGATACATTCTTGCCATCAACCCCATCCCTGGCACAGTGCCAAACAATTGGGAGGGAAACCCCAGCTCCCAACTTTGCCCTGAGGTCTTAGGCTGTACATCTAATGTCCCAGCTTTTAAGGCTCCCACCCAAGGGACAAGCCCCCAAAATACCTAGCTACAAAAGCCAATGGGGCTTGTGCCCACAAGAACTACAAGACTCCTTATATTGGAGATACTACTTCCACAGGAGAAAGTAGGTAGTTGTGGGCAATGCCTCCAGGTCAGAGAATAGCTCATCAAATGTTTCAAAGACATTTCTCCTTGGAAACATTGAGACATACAGGGCTTTCTTTGAATTCAGAATTTACTACATGTATATTTGACTAAAATCCTCACATGAGAACTATTTCATTTATTATCACTAGGCACTAGACGAGCCAGCCAAGACAGAGAGCATCTCCAAGGACAACACATTAGATCCACCTCTGGAGGTAATGGCTTCAGATCACCTCTGCTTTTGAAATGCAATCCCGAAACTCATTGCTAACCCAGTACCTGGTTTCAATTCTTCCAGTTGTGTTTCCCTGAACAGCTCAGGCAGCAAACTGAAGAGCTCTGTGCTACCATTGATAAGGTCTTACAGGATTCCTTGTCTATGGTAATGCCTTAGACTAGACCGTGCAATTCAAACCTTTGCTTTGCTTCACTTCATTTCCCTTTGCTTGGCTAGGATGGATGCATCATAAGCTTGTCCTTTTTTTTTTTTTTTTTCTAGCATTCTTCTGATTCTCCTTCAAGTTCCATACAGACATTTTTGGGTTCTGACACAATGAAAGTATGTATGTATTTAATATAATTTACTGAACCATAATATAGTAATATTAATGATTTTTAAACTGCAGGTCAAGGCCCAGTAGTGATTTGGGAAATCAGTGGATAGCAACTAGCATTGTGGTTTTTTTGTTTTTTTATTTGTTGTTAGCAAACAGCATATTAAAATAGAATAATAAGAATGTAAACTATCAATCAGACTGTATTATTCCAAGCAGTGAGTAGGTATTGTTGACATTTATTTCAATTCGTTTACATGTACAGGTATAGGCATGTGTATATAGATTGCAGTAAGATCTATTTCTAACTGTAGGTCAAGTTCAAAACAGTTTGAAAGCCAGAGTATTAGACTGTGTTGTTATATGTTGGCATTTAGGATATAGAAATGTATGTAGAATTTGTGACTTATTCTCATCCCAAACTATAGCTTCAGTCCTTATGTAATTCAGAGCTCTTACACTTGTAGAAACTGAAAATGAGGTAGACTAAAGTAGTGTTAGTCTTAGAGCTTTAACACTGGTATTATTTCTGGAATTCTTTTCTTTTGGTTAACTGAATTTATTTCATTGTTCGTTGACTCAGAGGGACAGAATCCTGGATATTTTAGATAATTTGAGGACTACTAAAGCATTGTTATAATTGAATATTTAAGTACTCCCTTCTTATCATGTAGCCTTTTTCATTTGTTGGGATAAAATATTACATTTCTCCAAGTTATTTTTTTTTTTGAATGCTTTGTACAGATCTACTTACCCAAATTTCAAAATGATTGTGGTTTTTCTTTTATTGATAATTGTTAGTTGTTTTTGGTCAGTTTTATTTTCTCTCTTGGGATTAGTATAAATACTTTTTGCATATTCTTTTTCAAAACTGGACATTGTATGTATCAAGTAGATTTTATTGTATTTTATTTATTTAAAATTTTTATTACAGTTGATTTACAAAGTTGTGTTTCTTTAAACACAGATTTTAAATGTACAGATTTTAAAATGTACACATTTTAAAATGTAGATTTTAAATGTACAGAATTGCCTATAACTAAAACAGTATTTCTAATTTTCAATTGGAACATTATAGACGAATATCCTTTAATAATGATGTAGAAGCCAGGTAATCACTCATTGTCAGTATTATTACATTTTAGTAGAGAGAACCTGCAAATGGATAGTTATAGCTTCTCTATTTGTAACCTATTTTGTATATTCTTTAAGTCTTTTAATCTAAAGATAGAAAAGTTTGATTTGCCAGAGACTATATAAATTTTAAATGTATTTTTTTCTCATTTCATTTGTTGAACATATAAAAATACCATATATTACATTAAATGTAATAGGAATAGGACTTAAGTAACATGTGAGTAATAACCTGTATTATTGATTTATTTAACAAATATTTAACACTTATAGTGTTAAAGATACATTATTCTAGGCCATTCAATTTAAGGCAATTTTTCATTTAACAAATATTTATTAGTGCTTACACAGTGCTTAGCACTGTGAGGTACTATGGTGATAAGTGTGAGCAAGGCAGAGTAATCAGAGAGGCGTATTTCTTTTTTTTTAATTGAAGTAGAGTTGATTTACAATGTAGTGTTAGTTTCAGGTTACAGCACAGTGATTCAGTTATACAAATATACATATATGTATTCTTTTTCAGACTCTTTTCCCTTATAGGTTATTACAAAATATTGAGTATAGTTCCCTATGCTATACAGTAGGGCCTTGTTGTTTATCTATTTTATATACAGGAGTATGTATATGTTAATCCCAGCTTCCTAATGTACCCCTCCCCACACCCTCTTTCCCCTTTGGTAACCATAAATTTGTTTTCTATGCCTGTGGGTCTGTTCTGTTTTGTAAATAAGTTCATTTGTACTTTTTTTTTTAGATTTCACATATAAAGTGATATCATACGGTATTTGTCTTTGTCTGACTTACATCAGTTAGTATGATAATTGCTAGGCCCATCCATGTTGCTGCAAATGGCATTACTTCATTATTTTTTATGGCTGAGTAATATTCCACTGTATATATGTACCACATCTTCTTTATCTATGCATTTGTCAACAGACATTTAGATTGCTTCCATGTCTTGACTATTGTAAATAGTGCTGCAATGAACATTGGGGTGCATGTATCTTTTCAAATTGGAGTATTCTCTGGATATAAGCCCAGGAGTGGGATTGCAGGATCATATGGTGGTTCTATTTTTAGTTTTTTAAGGAACCTCCATACTGTTCTCCATAGTGGTTGCACCAATTTACATTCCCACCAACAAGGTAGGGGGGTTCCTTTTTCTCCACACTGAGAGGTGTACTTTGGATATAATGATCTGAAAGTAGGATTCAAACTGAGACCATGAGGGAAAGAAGCCAGTCATAGAAAAATCAGGGAGAATAGCTTTCAGGAAGAGGAGTAAACATGTGCAAATATCCTGGCAGGAAAGAGCTTAGTGTGCTTGAAGAAGGCCAGTGTGGTTGCAGTATGGTGAACAGTGTGAAATGAGGTGAGAAAGGGGTGTAGGGACGGTGAGGATACTTACATGCCATGCCATGAAGTTTGGATTCCAGGGAAAATGGGAAGATATAAAAATATGGGGGGAATAATATGAAACCATTGAGAAAGCTGGCTGATGGCTGCTGTGATGAGGCTATCGAGGTCAGAGGAACCATGACAGTGGCCTGGTGCAGAGGAGCTGCAGAGAAGCACTGAGTATGAAAGAGATATTGCAGCCTTGCTTGGGTTTGGATGTGTGCAGAGAAGGAGAGGAGAATCGTGGAAGAGCTCCTGCTCTTTGCCTCAACTGTAGACAAACGTGAAGGAGGCTCAGTGTGGTAGAGGGAAGAGGGTTATGTTTATTTGGATAAGGTAAGTTCAAGATGTGTGTCAGGGAGGCCTTAAACCTGTGTGGCTGGAGCTGGTACGAGAGATCGGGGAATGACTGGTACGTCGATGCTGTGGACACCCGGTATGGAGCTCCCAGGAACAAAATATTGCAGGTCCAATCAAGGAGAATGAAAGTCTGTTGTGCTCAGAGCAGTGTGGTAACATGGAAGCTACAAGAGCACAGTGTTTAAGAGAGTGTGATCGTGGTGATTGTTGCCAAGAAAAAGAGAACGAATAAGGCTAGAGAAGTGTTCATAAGATTTGACTTTGATTTTGAAACTATATTGCTATTGCTTATGTGTTTATTCTCATCATTTTGATTTTTCTAGCCTTTATTAGCCTATAAAGTCCTTGTGAACCTGAGGCTGTTCTTTTTAGTCTCATATGAAAATTGTGACCTTATATATTGATACATAACATATATGTAATTTTTAATTCATGTTTTCCTAGATGTATCTTTTATTACTTTTTTCTATTATTATTATTTTTTTACTATTACTTTATTTTTTTATCTTTTTGTACACTCATCTTATTTTCTTCAAGACAACATATTTCTGGATATCACTTTTATAGTTGATCTGAAATTCTGTTTATCTGGGACCTTAAACCATTAGCAATTACTGTAATTCTTCTTATATTAGGACTAATATCTCCTATCTTATTTTATATTTGCTACTTGAAATGTTTTCTTTTTTGACTTTCCTGCTTTCCTTTGGATATTTTGATATTTACTGGTTTGAAAATTTTACTTTGCTTTTTTGTTACTTTTCATATTTACCTCTAAATTATTAAAGACAATAATTATGTTTATTTTCCTATCAATTTTAAAGCTTACATATATCTTTTTCTAAACTTAAGTACCACAGGATTTTTCACTTTCCTGTTGTTTTTAATCAAGATCTATCTACCTATCTGTCTATACATATGTATGTAGACATAGTTTGTTAGTATTTTTTGGACTTCTAGATCTGAATTTTATATGGTTATATTTTTCTTGATTTCTTCTTTATTTAGACACATACTTTATTTAGATCCTTATTTCTTACACATTCATAGCTTTTTCCTGGATTTATTTTTCTTCTTGTTGACCTCTTGGTTGTATTCAATAAGGTCTTTTTGTATTGATTCTATTGCCTGTGTTCCTGAGATCATCATTATTTTGCCCTTTCTTTTATTTATTTATTTATTTTTAGTTAAATTTATTTATTAATTTTTTAATAGATCTTTATTGGAGTATAACTGCTTCACAATACTGCGTTAGTCTCTGTTGTACAACAAAGTGAATCAGCCATATGCATATATATATCCCCGTATCCCCTCCCTCTTGAGCCTCCCTCCCACCTTCCCTATCCCACCCCTCTAGGTTGTCGCAAAGCACAGAGCTGATTTCCCTGGGCTATGCTACTGCTTCCCACTAGCTATCTATCTTACATTTGGTAATGTATATATGTTGATGCTACTCTCACTTTGCTCCAGCTTCCCCCTCCCCCGCCCTCCATGTCCTCAAGTCCATTCTCTTCTATGTCTAAGGCTTTATTCCTGCCCTGCCACTAGGTTCATCAGTATCATTTTTTAAAATTTTAGATTCCATATATATATGCGTTAGCATATGGTATTTGTTTTTCTCTTTCTGACTTACTTTACTCTCTGTGACAGACTGTAGGTCCATCCACCTCATTACAAATAACTCAACTTCATTTCTTTTTATGGTGAGTAATATTCCATTGTATATATGTGCCACATGTTCTTTATCCATTCATCTGTGGATGGACATTTAGGTTGGTTCCATGTCCTGGTTATTATAAATAGTGCTGCAAAGAACATAGTGGTACGTCTCTTTTATTTAAGATTTTTTTTTTAATTTATTTATTTTTGGCCGCATTGGGTCTTCATTGCTGCATGCGGGTTTTCTCTAGTTTGGTGAGTGGGGCTACTCTTCGTTTCAGTGCGTGGTCTCCTTGTTGCAGTGGCTTGTCTTGTTGCAGAGCATGGGCTCTAGGCAGGTGGGCTTCAGTATTTGTGGCACGTGACCTGAGTAGTTGTGGCTCACAGGCTCTAGAGTGCAGGCTCAGTAGTTGTGGTGCACAGGCTTAGTTGCTCTGCAGCATGTGGGATCTTC